GATACGGTGAACCACCAGATTCTCCTGTCAACCCTATTGGAAAATGGAATCTCAGGAACCGCACTCCAGTGGTTTGAGTCTTACAGATAGGTCCTTCAAGGTATCTTGGAGAGGTGAAGTATCCAAGTCGCAACATCTAGCTACTGGGGTGCCTCAGGGCTCAGTTCTTGGACCACTTCTCTTCTCTATCTCCATGGCATCACTAATCATTTACTAGTATTACTATCCTTGTGGGGACATTTTGTCCCCATAACGTGATAAATGCAGGTACACACACACACACACACACACACACACACACACACACAGAGGCAGTCAGCAGTGATGTATGTACACGTTCTGCGTGTCTCTGTAAGTATGAGATGAATGTGCTTTGACATGCATCTGATTTTACAGACAAGTTCATCCTTGCAGAAACACACACACACACAGTGCTTTACAACTATAGGACAGGAAGAGCTAAATAAACTTATCACTGCATCTAAACCAACAACATGTTTATTAGATCCTAGGTCCTCTGCTATTTTCAATATACATGTTGCCCCTTGGTAATATTACTAGAAAATACGGGATTAGTTTCCACTGTTATGCCGATGATACTCAACTATATATCTCAAAAAGACCAGATGAAACACACACACGCAGGCACGCACACACACACACACACACACAATAGAGGTTTAGAAGATGTCTTTAAGATGTTTGTGATTTAAAATGAATGTAAAACTGACATCTTAGAGACGTCTATCAGAAGTTTGCACACAACAGATGCTTTCCAGATGAAGCAATCTTTAACAGACATCTTGCAGACGTACCTGTGCTATCTGAATCTGTGAAAGCACTGCTTTATGACCTTCATCACATCTGTGGAACTAAGTTTCTTACACGTGATGCTAGCATGACATCTAGTGGACAGAAGCAGAACTGCAGTTACAACGCTTACGCGCCAGTAGAGGGCGCCGCTGAGGAGTCATTGTTCCTGGAAGACAGACGAACATACAGCAATATATGTATGTATGTATATATATATATATATATATGAAATATGCTAATTATATTCTATATGACATATATCAATTATTCTAACATATAACATATATCAATTATATATATATGAAAATATGCTAATTATATTCTATATGACATATATCAATTATTCGATATAATATAATAACATTATATTCTATATACTGCAAAATACTGCAAGTGATTATATATATATAGTGTTGTTATTTATATTTAATGCGGTGGTATTTATGTTGGCTGATTTCCTCTCAAATCCCCAAATAAAGAACCTCTGGCAGATGCGTCAAGGTTTTTGACACACACACACTCTCACACACACACACACACACACACACAAATTCCCAACCGGCCGGGATCTGCTCCACCGGGGGAAACGCCTTGTCGCCTCGGACCCGTTCTGTTTTAATTAGCCTCCCGGTGCCGCGGGTAATTACGGTAACGAGCCGCAAAATTCCTCCAAAAAAAAATACC